AGGAGGAAGGAAGTGCCTTCAAGAGGAACAACTCAATCCAGATATATTTGTGTTGCGAGAAAGAGGTTGAAGACAGCCCCTCCCTAATAGTTTTCAGAGTACAGGTAGTCCTCAATTTACAACAGTTCATTCAGTGACTGCTCCAAGTTGCAATGGCACTGAAAAAAGTGACTTATGACCATTTCTCACACTTAATGACCTTTGAAGCATCCTCATGGTCACATGATTTAGATTCAGATGCTTGACAACTGACTTATATTTATGACAATTGCAGCATTCCGGAATCATGTAATCCTGCTTGACAAGCAAAGTCAGTGGGGAAACCAGATTCACTTAACAACCGTGTTACTAATTTAAGAACTGCAGTGATTCACTTAAGTGTCACAAGACTAGTTATAAAATGGAACAAACTCACTTAATACATTTATCACTTAACAACATAAATTTGGGCTTAATAGTGGTCGTAAATTGAGAACTATCTGTATATGGTAGGTTCAGATAGTAGAGTGGTTAGTTTGGCAAGATTCTGTTCTATGGATGTAGAAACAATGAAGAACTCCTCTTAGAAGAATCACCATATGCCATTCTTGGGTTTGGGGCCTGGCATGGGTGCCTATATAGAGTTTGTGCAGTTTAGAGATCTGTACGGTATTACAAGCAGAGGTGGTATTCAGCCACTTCTGACAGGTTCTGGAGAACTGGTAGCGGAAATTTTGAGTAGTTTGGAGAATCAGCAAATAGGCCCCGTCCCCCATTGCATCCCAGCTGATCTTCTTTTGTTCCCCTGAACAGGAGAACAGAGCTGGAAAACAGGTTAGTGGGGTGGGGAGGGGATGGGGAGTATCCTTCTCCTGTCACACCCATCAAACCATGCCCACCAAGCCACACCCACAGAACCGGTAGTAAAAAAAAATGAATCCCCTCACTGATTACAAGTAACTGAATTATCTTTAATGAGAAAGCAAAATAACAGCAAGACAAGTGTTCAGAATATAAGTAACGGTCTTATCAGCAAAACAGCTTGGGCGGAGGGTGGGTCAGATGGAAGGATAATGGGTTCCCAATCTCTTGTCAATTGCATTGGAAGAACTCAGGACCACCCAAGGTTATAGAAGAAGCTGCAAGTTGAGCTATCTTGTTATAGCCTTGTTTTTAAATCTGCATTCCTCATCCATGTTTATTTCAATTGAAATATCTGGTCTTCCTCCTTCCCCCCTTTTTTCCATTCAGTGGCCTCTCATTCCCCGCTCAGGTGGTCATCATTATGATATTTCCCTCTTCCTGTTGATGTTACTTTGACAAGAGTGTCTCAAAGCAGCAAAAGCTTTCAAACCTTTTGAAAATTACTTGGCACAAGCCTGCCTAATTGTTCCAGCATTGCCAATAGTGTATGAAATCAATAAGCATGTGAGTGGTAGACCCCCCAGGAAAAGCAGCTACTGCCTGGGTGGTCATGGGAATATACATGCAGAGCAAACTGTCTTTAAATTTATCTCCATTCTGAAGTCATTTAGCTCAGGGACTGGATCTGTGCTTTGTTTAAACACGATTTTAAGACAGAGACAGTGTTTGAACTACAGCATCTGAGTTAACACACTATACTAATCCAAAACCAAACAAATCACATTATGATTTAACACATTCACATTCTATATGAACTTTAGAACAAGACATTAGGTCATTTTCTTTATGGCTAAATGGCACTATTGGCTACTTTGGTTTATATCAGGAGATCATTCTTATTGGATTCTTACTGGATTTTGATAATCACAAGTTTTTGCCATTGATATCACTGGAATTCATAGCAATACCAATAGTGCTTAGACTTATATACTGCTCCATAGGGCTTTAGAGTGCTCTCTGAATGGTTTCGCTCTGGAAAATATCAGCATATTGCCCCCAACACTGTGGGTCCTCATTTTTACAGACCTCAGAATGATGGAAGGCTGAGTCAACCTTGAGCCAGGATCGAACTCCAGGTGTGTGAACAGAGTTAGCCTATAGTACTGCATTCCAAGTGCTTCAACGACCCTCAAAAAGCGTCCAGCTGTCTGCAAAGAATATAAATCTTTCCATTCCCCACTGTCCTGTCAGAGCCGAAGAAGCTTCTTTGACGGGGAAGTGAAACGCCCTCAAAGAAAAACAAGAAAGTCCAGTTGCCTTCTGAAAAAAGCACCTTTGGAACAACCATGACCTGGATGACTGAGAATCTCTACAACTTACCCCATTCTAACCACTGTGTTACTATGGCTTAGGTGGTTCTTTCCAAAATTTCCAGTTTGAATAACGATTTGCATATGCTATAGTAAAAAAGAACAAGGGAATGGTTCAGTTATAGGTTGGGCATGTAGCTTACCTGGGAATTCTGGAAGACCTAACCCAGCCCTTTTGCAGAGCAGTTGGTTAGGAAGGGCTGTTCCTGAGTTTGATCTAGTTTAAAGCTGTTGGATTTCTTCCTGGCCTTTAAGTCATTTTCAATCTCTTTCCGATATTTGGATACAGTGCTCACACACACGATGGTAGAAATATGTGGGATTAATCAGAAGTTGCCACAACCACAGGTTAATTTAGGACCACAATTAGGACTAGAATTTTGGTTGCTAAGTGATGTGGTCATTGATTGAATCACTCATGTGACTGGACCTGATTTTACAACCATTTTTGCCCTGGTCATTAAGCATCCCCCTATTGACTTTACTGGTTGGAAGCTGACTGGAAAGGTTGCTAATTGTAACTGCAAGATGCTGCAATCCTTGTAAATGCAAGCTGGTTACCAAGAGCCCAATCACATGGGGATGTGTGATGTTTGTGATGACCTAAGCTTCCCAAGAGCATGAAGCAAACTCCTTGTCCCGACAAAAACCCCTTTTAGTAATTTACAGTGAATTATGCTCATTCACATCCAACAAAGTCTTTCAAGGGAGGATTTACAGTCACAGACCTTATCTGGCTTGGAGAGCTGACAGGCCGATATCTGCAAAATTTGACAAGGAGTCTCAGAGAGTCATGAACCAATTAAGAGAACTAATTGTCTCCTGCAAACTCCCCTCCTCTTTTATTTCCTCTGGGAGGGCCATTCATTGTCAACCTGTGGCCTTACTCCCAAGTCGACTCCTGTTCTTTAGCTGTTCCCTTCGTCTGGCAACTTTGCACATGCACACACTGGGAATAGGCTCCAGCTGTTTGTCTGCCTCACTGATGTCTGACTCTGAAGGCGGCTGATAACTGGCATACGGCTCTGCCCCCCTCTCTGCCTCCGACACAGAGCTATCATCAGAGGCTTCCCCAGCTTCCAGGACTGGCCCATGTTCCTCCCCAACCTCCTCACTGTCCGAATCTGCTGCCAGCTCCACTGGCCGCTGGTGGACCACAACAATGGTCTTAACTTAACAAGTCACTTTTTCTGAGACAGTCGTAACTTTGAACTATCATTAAACGAACTGTTGTAAGTTGAGGACTGCCTGTAAAGAGGAAACAAGCATATTAACAGGGAGGACAAAAGGCCAGAAATCTTGTCTACAAGGTCCTTTACAGGAGTAAATAAGAAGGAAGCAAATTGTTAAGAGAACAAAGGGAACAAATGTCACCTGAACCAGACAAAGGAAGCTGGGCTTGAACACATGGAAGGGGGTCCCCATCCATCCCAGCTAGTCAATAAGCAAAAATCCTTGGGGTCAAAAAGAGGTCCACAAGTCCACCCACTCCTTGAGAATGTTTTGGGAACCAAATTTGGCAGTTTCCATCCCTCTTGGCTAATGCCTGGCAGCCTAGTTGAGAAGGACGTTAGGTAAGCATGAGTGAATGTATGTGCGTGTGAGAAAGAATGTGCGTAGCGTGTAACCAATAAAGTTTTGCTGTTACTTTAAATTCACCGGGTCTCAGTGTAATCCAAAGAACCTGATTTGCCGTAATGTTCGGTTGAAAGAGATTGACAGGGGATGTGTATCTTGTCCACTCTCACTGCATCCATTTGGAGAATCCATTTGGGGAAGACAACAGTGGCCACCAACCTTTTGGGCATCAGAGATCGGTTTCATAGAGAAAGGGTTTTCTGTGGACCGTAGGGAGCGTGGTTTTGCATGCTGCCTACATCCCATGGATGGGCTTCGCTTGTTTGCATGAACCAGTTGCTGGCATGCCATGGACCAGTGCCGGTCCACAGACAGGGGGCTGGGGAGCCCAGGATTACAAGATCTGTGTGCCTGACAGGCTGTGAAAAAAGGACTATAAACTGAACCTGGGAGCACATGTAACGTAAGAACTTGAATTTTATCCATAATCTGTTCTGTAAGGCAAATTTCTGAGGCCACAAGAGAATTACCAACGTGTGCTGGCAACTTGAGAATTGGATGGCATTGATTCTGCAAAACATCTCCATAAAATATAATATCAATCAGGGAGCCATCCCTCATTAGAATATATTTTTATTTAAAATCAAAGATTTGGATCACCATTAAAGCTTTATGTAAGGGAGTGACCTCTCAGTGAAACTCAAGTTTGGATGGTGGCTATAAAAGAGATCAGACCATTTTCACTGATAGCTTCTCCCCATGGAATTCCCAAAGTTTGTTCAGATGGACGGAAGGCCTTTGGGGAGGCAGTGATAGAAGGAAAATCAGTGATATCCATGTTTTTTTCCCATGTTGCACAGAGGGAAAAAGAAGCTTGTAATAAATACTTTCCAAGTACTGAAAGCATTGTATTATTACGCTCATATTTGAAATTTTTACACAGAATATGCACTTAGTACAGTCATCACGGCTTGAATTAAAGGTCCCTATTCAGTTTCCATTGCTTGAATGTTATCGCTGTACAGTTTCTTAGGGAATTAATAAGATATTATAAGGTGTGTTATTCAACTGTAGGGATATTAGATGAAGAGGTACAGTTGGTCAACACCCCACACATGCCAAACCTATACCAAGCACAGTACTAACAATAAGCTTCCATTGCTGCACAGAAATTCTGTTGGACTAATAATATGTGTTCTTTGTTTCAGAATGGTTCCTCCCCCTCCTATTAACAAGTCCCATGTTTGCCTATCCACTACACTCATCATGAGCAGCATGGTGCTGATGGATGCTTATCTAGTGGAACAGAACCAGGGTTCTAGGAAATTGGCTATTTGCATCATGGTCTCAGTTGGAGACATTTGCTTCCTGGTGATACTCAGGTATGTTGCTGTTTGGGTTGGGGCTGAAGTGAGGACTGCTAAGCGAGGCTATGCCATGATTCTTTGGTTCCTGTATGTCTTTGTGCTGGAAATCAAAGTCTACTTCGTTTATCAGAACTATAAGGCTGACAGGAAAAGTTTGGACCTCATAGCCCGCAAAGCATTGACCCTTCTACTGTCAATCTGCATCCCAGCGCTCTATGTGCTTTTGGTGGCTACAGAGCATATGGAGTACGTCAGGACGTTCAAGAAAAAGGAGGACCTTCGCAATCGTCTCTTCTGGGTCATTGTCGACATGCTGGATGTCCTGGACATTCAGGCTAATCTCTGGGAACCTCAGAAGAAAGGGTTACCCATCTGGGCTGAAGGCCTGATGTTCTTCTACTGCTATATCCTCCTCTTGATTCTGCCTTGTGTGTCGCTGTGTGAAATTAGTATGCAAGGAATCAGCATTGTGCCGCACCGCATGATGTTGTACCCAATTCTGAGCATGCTTACAATCAATATCACCACCATCTTCATCAGGGGAAGCAATATGTTATTCTTCCGGGACATTCGTGTCTCTGGTATCTTCATGGGGAAGAACGTGCTGGCCATTGTTCTAAAGATCTGCATGTTTGTGCAGTACAAGAAACATTTGTATCACACATCAGCAGGACATGGCACAGTAGAACCGCAGCATAATCTTCCTTCCCAACCACAGCCTGTCATGCATCTACTAAAGCCCCAGAATCAGATTCCCTGCCCTGAGGAATTGGCCCAGGAAAACACATGACATGCAGCACATCCACATGCCATGTGGCAAGGAACATCTTATGTCTATGATCATTAAGATCAAAAGCAAAGTGGAACCAAATGTATCAGGCCCCACCAAGCCAGTGCTGGTCCATCTTGAAAGTTTATCAGTGAGTGCTCCCTCCCCTTCCTTTCTTACACAGATGTACTGCTAACAGTGACCTCAGTTGAAATAAGGTCATTTCAGGAATGAGCCAGAACAAAACCTAGCCCTACTGCCAAGGAGCAAGCTAGAAAGCCGTAGAAACTGATGGGCAGATCTTTGGGAAAGTATGGGCCACTGAATCAATAATCTGCCAGTGGACGGGAGTCAGCAGCAAGTGATTAATTCCCTCCTGTGCCTTTCCTGTAGTCAATCATTCTGTAATGAAAGCTGTTTGGGCATATGGCCAACTCTGTTGCATAGAATACATCTGTGAATATGAGGAAAGCATCTTTTCACCTACCGGGCACATACATTCAAAATGTGACCTTCCTTTCTGGGATGGTTGAAAGACTCTGCATCTGTGCCTGCCTGCCTGCCTATTTAATTTTCTGGGAGTGGGATGCCCAGGTTTGTAATGGTTCCAGGACCATGTTCTCTTTCCTGTGGAAACATGCTGGCTTGTGATCCTTTTCCCATGCTTGTTTTTCATGGATATTTTTCTCTTTCAATAAAATGAAGACAAAGCTTGAAGGTTTGTCCCATTTCCCTGTGCAGGTACCTCGCAACACCTTTCAGTGATCAGGTTAGCGTTTATGCTTCATACTGTCCTGAAGGATAAGAAGGTTATGAGTGACTGCAAGAAACCAAGAGGAGAGAGACATACAAAACACTACCCACTTGGTTTCTCAGGTCAAGGAGTTGTTTAACTCCTTTTAAAATCCACCTAAGGTACGGTTTCAAACTATACATTGAAAATTGGTTAGGATTGGCATTGAAAATGTTTTCTTACTGGATCATGGAGCTACAGGTGCAGCTATGCTTGTCAAACAATATTGTCAACCTGACAGTAATTGTGTAGACAGCCCTAGATGTGCCAGACAGGAAGAATAAAGAGAAAATTTCCAGGCCCATCTCCTTTTCCAGATGCAAAAGTATTCCACTTTATTGCATCCGTGGCGAGGCGGTGGACAGACATTCTTGTTTTTGTGCTGTATCAGGCTCCTGTAGAATTTTATTTACAAGGCAAATTCTCTGAATATTTAGGGTTTTATATATTTATATCAAAAATTCACAATTGGCCTCTTTCTACATTATAGACTGTAATAACTTCCTACCTGCCTCTAGGCCAAGAATCCTTTTAATTGTGGAATAGGAGAGAATGTTGACAGATACACTTTCCTCCCTCGTCTACAAGGTGAGCTGCCTTTATTCAAATGGCCTTTCCACAAAGGTTTAAGGACTCACCTTCTCCATTGGTGACAACTTTTGTTTTACAAAAACCTGAACACCCAGAAGATTGCCCTGTGGTGGCCCCGTCACATGCTCGGGGGAAGTAGGACAGAAGGATAAGCAGCAGGGGTGGGTTCCTGCCAGTTCTAACCTCTTCTATAGAAGAGGTTCCACAAATCTACAGTGCCGTTTAGAACTGGTTCCAGCTCCCTCCCTGCCCCACACATCCACACATCATCAAGATGAAGAGCGAGTGGAGGAATTCTGGAAGTTGAAGTCCACAAGTCTTAAAGCTGTCAAGTTTGAACACCCCTGGTTTTTTTTTTCCTAAAGGGTTAGCGGTGCAAGGGTCTTGTAACTTGACAGCTTTAAGATTTGTGTGCTTCAAATGCCAGAGTTTCTGAGCCAATGTTTTGGTTGCTTATCAAGAGCGTTGCTAAGTGAGTTTCACTACATTTTACAAGTTGGCCACTCCCACCCAGTCACATGGCCGGCAAGCCACTCTTACCTGGTCACATGGTCGGCAAGCCACTCCCACAAAGCAGACCATACCTACAGAAGAGGTTCTAAAAATTTTTGAAACCCACCATTGATAAGCAGGCAGGTTCAGAGTCAAGAGCTCACACCTTCTCTTGTGGGTCTAGGATAACTTGCCACAACCATCTCACTGCAGCCACCTCACCCTGTCCAACTCACCATGGCCATATTGCCGTGACCAGTCCGGTACAGCCATTTTTACCACAGCCAACTCACCAATTCACCACAAAGAAGAAGGAGTCAAGCTATTCTCCAAAGGATAGAACAAGACACAATGAGTGGAAACTATTCAAGGAAAAAGGCAACCTAGAACTAAGGATAAATTTCCTGACAGTTAGAGCAATTAATCAGTAGAACAGCTTGCCTGCAGAGGTTGTGAATGCTCCAACACTGGATGTTTTTAAGAAGAGGTTGGATAACCACTTGTCTGAAGTGGTGTTGGGTTTCCTGCCTAAGCAGGAAGTTGGACTAGAAGGCCTCCAAGATCCCTTCCAACTCTGTTATTCTATTCTATTTGCTCTGGAAAAACTTCCATGTGGGATAACTTAATGCGGTAAGTGTTATCCACCATTGTTTCTTCTGCATTCTTTCCATTTTTGTCAATGGAAATAATGTTGAACAAACAGTGGTGGATAATATTTATCGTGTTGAGTTATCCCACATGGAATTGTCCCATGGCAACTTGTCCGTGGCGAGATGGTTATGCCGGATTGGCCACGGTGAGTGGTCCCGTTCCTTTCTCTGGGGCACATTTTTATCTTCTTCCAAGCTCTCCCCACACCTTTTCTCTCCCTTACTGTATAGACTGCCAAAAATCTCGTGTAACCTTTTGGAAATGTGTACTTTCTGCCAAATGAGGGCTCTTTGCAGAAATTAAAGTTGCCAAGCTGCTTTTGTTTTTATAATACAAAGCAGAGAAGAGACCAAGAATTGCAGCTGCTTCCTGCTCTGGGGAAGAGCCTTTTCTCTTCCTTAAGTAAAGCGAGAAGATGAGCATGGCTGTTTGTTAATTACCTGGATTTAAATACACCACAAGGAAAGTTAAACTAAAGCATTGGAAAAAGAACATTTGGGGTAAGGCACAGAGTCTCCAACTTTACAGCACCACATTCCCCTAGAATCTTGAATTATCTAATACTGCCCTCCTGAATGTTACTTCTCTGTGTGTGCAAGCCAACCTTGAATCACAGTTAAAATACATTCCAGGATCAGGGGTATCCTTTGACACACATTGTGCAAGGGCCATTGAAGGAGAACTCCAGGACCTGAATGACCTGTGTAACTTAGATTAATCTACTCAGCACCAGCAGAACAGTGAAGGCCGCCTGTGCCCAGATATAGTGGTGCAAATGCAATTCCCCCTCAAATATAATGAATGTCCAGGAAGGGGGCCCCTCTATTAGAGGGGTCCCCAACCCCTGGTCCATGAACTAGCATCAGTCCGTGGTATGCCAGAAACCAGGTCATACAGACAAGGAAAGCCCCCTCTGTGGGATGTAGGCAGCACGCAACACCCCCCCTCTCCAGTCTGTGGAAAGATTTACACAGAACTGGTTCCTGGTGCCCAAAAGGTTGGGGGCCGATGCTCTAGTACCTACATTTTAGTCACTCCTGGACTAAGAAGTAAGGTAAAGGTTACCCTGCACATGCCTGCTAGTCGTTTCCGCCTCTAGGGGCAGTGCTCATTGCTGTTTCTAAGCCGAAGAGTATCTGTGGTCATGTGGCCGGTATGACTAAACACCGAAGATGCACAGTGTTACCTTCCCATCAAAGTGGCCCCTATTTTTCTACTTTATGTGTTTTCGAATTGCTAGGTTGGCAGAAACTGGAAGAAGTAATGGGAGCTCACTCTGTTATGCGATGCTAGGGATTTGAACTGCCGACCTTCTAATTGACAAGCTCAGCGTCTTAGCCACTGCGTCCCTTTAAGAAGTCAGAGAAGGAATTAATTATCTTCATTTTTGCTCATTTAAGCCAAAGGAAAGATATTTGATTTATTTGCAAAGCAAAATTTGAACAAGTATTTCCAGTGCTACCGTTGTGTCAACCTGTGTTATAGGTAAATATAAATAAATAAAGAGAGACCGGAAACCAAAGGACTCTGTATCCTTGATTTCTTCAATAGAATTCTTAATGCAGTCTTGCCATTCCTCTTCAAAAAAAAAAAAAAAAAGTCCAGCAGAGTTCAATAAAATCATGTGCAGCTTACATTTTGACACAAGAAACTTGCTTTGCAGCTGATAAGAGGCTTCCTGTTCAGAAACACTCTCTCTGACTTGCAGCATACTCTTAAGAAACTCCTACTCAGATCAGTGGCATTTACTCCCACATATGTATTTCACAGGATCAGAAGTTTAATTAACCGGAATACAGCTCATTCTCTTTTCCTTATCATTACAGATCTTTACTCAGTTTTTTAATTGGTTTGGAACCATTTTCAGTGTCACCTGCCAAAATCAGAAATTAAAAATAAAAGGAAAATTCAGAGACTATATGTAAATTCTCCAGGAGAAAAAGTTGGTGTAAACTTTTTAATAAACTTGTATTTAATAAATACAAATGCACACCTAAATTAGGAAATTGCAATTAGGAGATCCAGCTTATGAAACCAAACTTCATACACAAACTGTTAGATTTTTCCATTAACTTTTTGTGAGTGTATGTGTTCTGGAGAAAACACATACATGCTTCCCTACAGAGGAAATTTTGAACCGGCCAGCCAAAATCTGCAGTATTTCTCTCCACATTTTTCAGATTCATATTATAAGTTTATTATCTATGCTTTTAATTAAACTACATATTTGAAAGAAAGAAAAACAGCCACATCTTAAAAATCAGTAAAAGAATAAGAGTAAAAAGTAAATTTATCAACTGGATTGTGGAGCTCCAGAATAGCAATAGCAATAGCAGTTAGACTTATATACCGCTTCATAGGGCTTTCAGCCCTCTCTAAGCGGTTTATAGAGTCAGCATATTGCCCCCAACAACAATCCGGGTCCTCATTTTACCCACCTCGGAAGGATGGAAGGCTGAGTCAACCCTGAGCCAGTGAGATTTGAAC